CCGGAACTGCAAGACAGCACCGAGGACCACATGTCCGGCAACGGCTGGTTCTCGTCCGAAGTCCTCAGCACGGCACTCTTGACGAAGGCCATGACTGAGTACGATCGAGTGACCTGGCGGCTCGACCTCAAACCATTAACAGCACCAGAAGACTTGGCAAACTACGTGGGAGCCCTACAAAACCAGAGCAACCAGCACTGGATTGCGTACAGAAACATCAGGGGCAAGTACACCAAGCTCGACTCACTTAAAGCGAGCCCCACGACTATCAGCAGAAGCACTTTCCTGCAAGAGCTGCGCGAGCATCCCCACACCTACGGCATTGCCAACATCTAAAATCACACCCGAAGCCCGACGACGCACATGCACGCGGAGGCAAACAAAAAGTCAGACGAGAAAACTGCCATGAAACAACTCAGTGACAAACACACATGGCAACAGCGACATGTCACGGTTGCTAACAGCAAACAAATGCACCGACCGTCTCGGTCCACCCATTGCCCTCCCAGCCTCCAGCACCAATGCATAGAACATCAAAGCTCCGAGCAGCCGCACAGTGCAACGTCTACCAATGCAACTCGCACAGCAACGCCAACAGCAACAAGCGGTCTGCTCGAATCACGAAGCATTAAGCATGAAGAAACGGCACCATGCGCGCAAAGTTATAAGGGCCAAATCTCACACATCTAGTCGTATATGCTAACGTACAAATCAAAACCATACGATTACAACATACCGATACAAGCTTGCATGTATGCACCATCTCTCTCTTACACACACACACACACACACACACACACACACACACACACAGACACACACACACACACACACACACACACACACACACACACACACACACACACACACGCAAACTGAAGCCATGGCAGTCGCCGACAGTAAAGAAGCTGTTTCCCTGTCTTCGCTTCAAGCCGACGACTTCCAGCACGATACATTGCAACTGAAGAGACGAAAATGCATCCACGGTGAGAACGAACCTTACCAATATACGGACATGCCCACCAAGGACATACCCGACATCGCGACGCCACCGTATGACAACCGAGGTTAAGTAAATTGACGAGATCGTTTGACCCCCAGCATTCACCAACCGAATGTGTTAACCCCTCAAGGGGTTTAGGGCTTTGGGTTCTGCTACTTCTTCTAGTATTACTATCGCCACTACTGCTGCTATTTCTACTGGTACGGGTTATGCTGCTTCTTCTACTACTACTATCACTACTACTGCTGCCATTACTACTAGTACAGGGTTTCGGGTTTAAGGTATAGGGTTCTACTACTTCTCTGTTAGTACAGGGTTTGAGTTACGGGTGTAGGCTTTGGGGTTCTACTACTTCTTCTACTACTATTATCACTACTACTGCTGCTATTGCTACTAGTATGGGGTTTAAGGTTTAGGGATTAAGATTTAGGGCTTGGGGTTGTGCTATTTCTCCTACTACTACTATCACAACTACTGCTGCTACTACTACTCGTATAGGCTTTAGGGTTTGGAGTTTAGGTTTCTGCTTCTTCTTCTACTACTACTACTATCACTACTACTGCTGGTATTACTACTAGCATTGGGTTTAGGGTTGGGGTTTAGGGTTCTGCAACTTCTTGTACTACTACTAGCACTACGACTGCTGCTATTACTACTAGTATGGTCTCGCTGAACCTCTCCGAAACTCGCCGAAACTTGCCGAGACTATAGCCGAAACTCACGGAAACTCGCACTCGCCGAAACTGCTTGAGACTCACGGAAACTCGCTGAAACTCGCCGAAACTGATTAAACCCGCCGAAACTCGCAGAAACTTGCTGAAACTCGCTGAAAATCGCAGGAATCTCGCTGAAACTTGCAAACTCGCCGAAACTGCTTGAAACTCACGGAAACTCACCGAAACTCGCTGAAAACCGCCGAAGCTCATTGAAACTCGCTGAAAAACTCGCTGTAAACTCGCCGAAACTCGCTGAACCTCGCCGAAACTCGCTGAAATTCGCTGAAACCCGCTGAAACTCGCCGAAACTGGCTGAAAGCCGCTGAACCTCGTCGAAACTCGCTGAAACCACCAGTGCCACCAGTGCCACCAGCAGGCCCATTTAGGGTTTAGGGCCAAATTTCCTGGATTTTGGGGTGGGCGTTCTGGGTGACAAATTCAGTTCATAAAATTGCGTTTTTATTAGGCCGGAGGGCCGATCTCGAGGTCCCCCCCCATTCTGGGCCTAAACTACAAACGTAACTGGTGCCTGACCGCGGAAAACCCAAAAAAACTCAAAAAACTCGGGCCCACCAGCGCCACCAGTGCCACCAGCAGGCCCATTTAGGGTTTAGGGCCAAATTTCCTGGATTTTGGGGTGGGCGTTCTGGGTAACAAATTTTGTTCATAAAATAGCGTCTTTAATTAGGCCGGAGGGCCGATCTCGAGGTCCCCCCATTCTGAGCCTAAACTACAAATGGAACTGGTGCCTGACCGCGGAAAACCAAAAAAAACTCAAAAAAACTCGGGCCCCCCAGTGCCACCAGTGCCACCAGCAGGCCCATTTAGGGTTTAGGGCCAAATTTCCTGGATTTTGGGGTGGGCGTTCTGGGTGACAAATTCTGTTCATAAAATTGCGTTTTCATTAGGCCGGAGGGCCGATCTCGAGGTCCCCCTCATTCTGGGCTTAAACTACAAACGGAACTGGTGCCTGACCGCGGAAAACCAAAAAAAAACTCAAAAAAACTCGGGCCCACCAGTGCCACCAGTGCCACCAGCAGGCCCATTGAGGGTTTAGGGCCAAATTTCCTGGATTTTGGGGTGGGCATTCTGGGTGACAAATTCTGTTCATAATTTGGCTTTAAGTTTAGCAACCCCCCATTCAAGGTTCATTAATAGAGTTTTTCCAAACCCTATGGTTTAGCAAACCCCCATTCAAGGTTTATTAAACCCTAATTTAGGGTTTAGCAAACCCTATGGTTTAGCAAACACCCATTCAGGGTTTATTAACTAATTTAGGGTTTAGCAAACCCTATGGTTTAGCAAACCCCCATTCAAGGTTTATTAAACCCTAATTCAGGGTTTAGCAAACCCTAGGGTTTAGCAAACACCCATTCAGGGTTTATTAACTAATTTAGGGTTTAGCAAACCCTAGGGTTTAGCAAACCCCCATTCAGGGTTTATCAATTCTTAATTTAAGGTTTAGCAAACCCTAGGGTTTATTTAGGGTTTAGCAACCCTAGAGTTTAGCAAACCCCCATTCAGGGTTTATTAAACCCTAATTTGGGGTTTAGCAAACCCCCATGCAAGGTTTATTAACAGGGTTTAGCAAACCCTAGGGTTTAGCAAACCCGCCGAAACTCATTGAAGTCGCTAATACTCGCTTATTTCCATTCTTTCTAGCATTTCCCAAATTTTGCTGCTGGGCCAGGAAAATTCAAAAAAACCTGCAAATTCAAAAAAACTCAAAAAAACCCCCCAGTTTAATATTCTCAAAAACGCACCCCGCACACGAAGCAAGCTCAATAAACCCTAAACCCGCCCGCCACCCCTCTCACTTCTGTTGGGGTAGGCGGGCGACGTCGAGCGGCAGCGAGACCATGGCAGGCTCTGCTAGGCTGCAGAGCCTGCAGGGCGCACCCCTGAAGGGGTCGCCAAGCTAGAGTCGCCTAGCTAGTCACTGGTATATAGTTTATAACCCTAAACCCTAGGATTTTGGCTTCGCGGGTCGGGGGTTGCATCCTTCACGACTTGAGGCGGCTTCCAAATGGACAAAGGGATGCCTCCCCCCCCAACCCTTCACGAGATGACGCGGCCACCAAATGGACAAGGGATGCCCCTCCCAACCCTTCACGACTTGAGGCGGCTTCCAAATGGACAAGGCCTTCACGACTCCAGGCGGCCAGGCCCCGCGTCACGCGCGTCACGCGTGTCACGCGCCCCGGGTGCCCAGGAGCGCGACGTCACGCGCGTCACGCGCGTCACGCGGCCCTGCGTGACGGCCCTTTCGGCCGAACGCGCGTGACGCGCGTGACGTTTCTCACGCGTCTCCGCGTGACGCGCGTGACGCGCGTGACGGCTGGGACTTGTCGTTGTTGCGTTTTTCCGTCTCTGCGCCGGGCGAAATTTAGGGCACTGTCTCTATTGCCGGAGTATTGCTCGATTTTTCTCCGTGTGCTTTTTGGCGGCTTCTCGCCCTTGCGCCCCTGCACCCGAAAATTTGCGAGTACGCGACCTGTGGCTTTTCGCCAAACCATTAAAAGTAGGTGCGAGAGTCCCTGCCGAGACGCGTCGGCCTCCCCACGGTGCGGACCGGGTCCCGCGACAGCGCGGCGGCTCGGGGGCCGAACGCCGGGTGCGAAGCACGACCCATTAACCGCTCGGGTCAGGAGCAGCGAAACGGCAGACTCAACACCTTGCCTCCCCGGTGCTGGGGGGGAACCCTCTCAGGCCGGGCATGCCCAACACCGTTTTGTTGCTTCCAGCTGTATATTGCTTGTTGGGCTAGGCGTGTCACCAATTCGTGCATGCGCTGCCGGGCTGCACTGCGCAAAAAGAGCATGTGATCTCCTTTGCAGCATTGCACCAAAGCTCTATGCAGTTCAATGACGCTAGCGCATGAGAGGATCGGTACAGCATCGGCTTGCTGACACCTGAGCGTGTTCGCTTTGACTTCGGCTCCCTGCTCTTGCGAACTGCATTGCCCCTGCATACCGTTGTTAGCTGTATTTCTCCCAAGGCTCATTCCCCAGTTCTGCTGTAGTACTTGGTGTCTCGAAGAACATGCCTCGCTCTTGCCCGGGCGTGCTGGATGCTCCGTGCCGATTCTCTACAACGCACACAGGCCAGCCGGCACAATTGACAAGAGGGTCTAACGCGTGCTTCTTCTGTGACTTGGAGTGCGTGGAGCAGTCGTTGACGACGGGCAACTCTTACGTGGTCAGCAAGCTCAAAGCCACTCGACTCAATAATAACATAGTGGACGTCTGAACCGCTTTGAAGTTTCGTAGACTGGTGCTCAGGCTTTGCGTGAGTTGGACCTTGGCGTCTACGACGAGGCTCTGTCTCGAGTGGGCGAAGTTACCCCCGAGGTGAGCGACATCGAGCATCTCGTTCTGTCCGGAGGTGCCGTCGCTCGGTCTCAGGGGACGCCTTCCTTGTGTCGTGGTCAAGCAGGTCAGACATGTTGCTTCGCTTCGAATGGTGGCGGCGGACGGGCTCGAGGGCATCACCTCGGTCGCTGTATCTTCTGCGACGTAGAAGCCATGACCAAAACAGTGCAGAGCCAGCAAGGCCGCGGCAATGTCGTCCGCTTTCTGAAGAAATGGCGGATGCAAGCGCCCGACATATATGAAGCGGCGCTAGAGCGGAGCGCTTTTCGTTCCCTACCGCAGGAGATAAGAGCTGCGCTGACAACTGAGCCACGCGAGCCATCTGTCAAGCCGGATAAGAACACCGTGCTCTCTTGGCGCTCCTCCGTAGCTGCTCCTCCCAACGACGAGGATTACAAAGCGTGGGTGGACTCCGACCGGGCGTATGTGCAGAAGAAGTTCTTTCCTAGTCGTCCGCGCAGGGTGCGTCATGCAGGGTGGCAGTGGCAGAACCCTATGTCGGAGGACCTGACAAAGACAATTCACGATGTGGCTCCTAACGACACGGGTCTTCCTGCAGCATGTGCAAGTCTTTCGGCGATTGCTGTAGAGGCCTGGTGTCAGCGTGCATCCTGGGGGCTCTGTGCGCTTTGTGGGTCGGTGCAGCCACAGCATCTGAAAGAAGCAGCAACCCGCAAGTTGCCAGCCTCGGTGATCAAGCGGTGCAAGAATTGCGAGAAGAACGAGACCAAGCAGATCTGGGTCCCCTGGCCGGAGGAGGTTCCACAGCCACTCCAGGGTCTGTCCCGCGAAGTTCTTCTGGCTCTGCGGCCTTTAGATGTGGATTGTGGACCGGAGTGGAAGGCCGACTACGGCTATTATTTCCACAGCACCATGCTGCGGCTTGCGTGGTCGGCGCAGGACGTGGAGGAGAAGATCGCTGGCTTGGATCGCCCTGATCGACGCAGTGCCGGCAAGGCTGAACGGTGTTTTGCGGTAGGGGTGTTTCTACTCTGCTTGTGATAGTTTCATGTGATTTCTGCGTAGGCATTCGAGTTCCTCATGAGCAGCGACAACTCCAGCTATGCCTCTTTTGTGCAGCGCCACCGCAGCTTCCTGCAGAAATATCCAGTTGCTGACCAGGACAGACGCAAGCGGCCACTGCGATACATCGAGGAAGAAGCTGTGGAGTGTGCGCTCTGGCCTCACTTGTACTGGGACAAGCGGCTATGCGAGACCACTGCTCGCCTGGCCGATGCAAGGCGTGTGCAGCGCAGGCAAGAAGCCGCAGCTGCCGAGATGGAGGGTGACGAGGAGGAGTTCGACCCGGATGCAGGAGAGGAGGAGCCTGCCCGCAGACAAAGTCTGAAGCGCAGCTTTCTCGCAAAAGCCATGGGGCCCATTGCAGACTACGCCGGCGACTACGAACTGCTTCATTTTGTTTTTGATCTGTCCACCTGGTCTGACGTCGGCGGCAAGAAAGGCGCTCTGCGTGGCACGCCCATGTGGCAAGCCATGAAAGGCGCGCCCTGGACGCCCCAGTACTGGAAGGTGAGACACGCAGCGGCCCTTGACATGCAGGCGCAGTGTGGCTTCCCAGCGGCATTTCTGACGTGGGCTCCTTTTGAATGGTCCGCGCCGTACCACGAATGGCTGCTGCAACAGATGGCGCAACTGGGTCGCCAGCGTTTGCAACTGGCAGGCCCCGAGACACTGCACCTTGCCCACATCCTCACAGAGCTGTTTCGTGAATGGGTCTGCGGTGGCGGCTTGAAGTTCGGCGAGAGCTCCAGTGTTTGGCGATCGGCGGTCCTTGGAGGCGTTACCGAGGATGGGCGCAGGCTCAAGGTCAATTTCATTGGGCGTCTCGAATTCCAAGATGGCAAAAGAAAGGAAGCGACCCAAAGCTACCATGGACGTGCTGCCGTCCACTTGCATGGCCTTGTCTTCGCAGAGAGCATTGGGCCCATGAAGCTTCCAGAGAAGGCAAGCGCCACAGTACCACCAGAAGGCGACCCGCTTCGTGGTTATGTTCTCGATGGTCAGACTGGCCGCACCGGCAGTGGCTGGCCACAGCATGCGGGCGAGAATGAGTATGACTCAGCGCAGGACAAGGTGCGGCTCCATCACACTGCCTTGGACAGTCGGCTGGGCATCCGGGGCTACCTGCCTGAAGTGATGGACGTCCTCAAATGTCATCAAGACCTGCAGCTGGACCGTGGTTCTGGGCTCATGCTCAAGTACACCGCCACGTACCTGCCGAAGTTCAGCGACGGTCCGGGCAAGGAGCTCATGGATGACACCAGCAGCGGCTATGGCGCAGCTCGTCGAGTCCTCTTCACCTTTCACCCGGGAGAACCAGAGATGTGGCTTCTCCTCGCCAACCAGACCTTCCCCATGTTCTTCATGGGGGGCACGATGCAGCCGATCATTGCACCCCACCCCGGTATGGAGGCGAAGCCTGAGTACCTCCAGCTGTACGAAGCCGCAACCTGGCGCGGCGAGATGCCACTGATCGAGTACCTGCGGAAGGTCAACAAGAAGGGCAGCATCCTGGAGCACATCCGCAAGGCCTACTTGAAGACGGACGGTTCCATCAGCTTGCACACTTTCGCGCTGCGTTATGAAACATTCGGCGAGAAGATCATCGCCGCAGAAATGGTCTCCATGCAGAACGACAAGTTCTTCGGGCAGTGGATGGCACTCCACATTCCCTATAAGCGCCTCGAGGATCTTTTGCTCCCGGACATCGTTCAGGCCGTCCCCGAGCAAGTCAAGTTCCTCGCCTGCGCCTTGCATTGGGCCCCGGAGCTCTGGCGCGACGAGGCGCGCGTTCGTGACTATATGGCTCTCCGTGCACACCGTGAGGCCTTCATCGAAACCGTCATCCACAGGATCCGAGCTCAAGACTTCTTCATCCAGCAGCACCTCTCTGGCCAGCTGCAGCGCACGGAGAATGTCGCCGTGCCTCGAAGTCTTGAGGACCTTTTCGAAGAAAGGGCGGATGACCTGGTTTTCACTGCGGAGCAAGCCTCGTTTGAGCGCAACATCAACAAGCGCGTGGATCAGGCCTTGCGACTCCGGGCAGAAGCAGACGATGGAGAGTACGAGCGCTTGGCGGCTATTATCGAGGAGCATGGCTCCATGGTCGCCTGCTCTGGTGCCCCCGGCACGGGCAAAACTGCCGTCTTGGATCGTTGCATTCGAAGAGCCCAGCGCCTCGGGGCGCGAGTTCTTATCGCTTTGCCAACCGGCGTGCAGCGAGCGCGCATGAAGCAGCGCCATCCCGATGCGGAATTGGACACGTGCCACGGAGCTTTCTTGTTCCACAAGCCGCTTGCAGAGGCCATGGGGGTCCTCACTTGCTATGACCTCGTGGTTATCGACGAAGCCCCGCAGCTCTTCGAGGAGCATTTTGAGCGGCTCCACGAGATGTGGCTCGCCTCCGGCAAGGTGCCGTGCTTGGTGTTCGCTGGCGATGAGTGGCAGCTACCGCCGCCTGATCGCACCAAACGGAGCTTGGTCTGGCATCCCAAGTGGAACTTTGTCCACAAGATTGAGCTCCACCACGTTTGGCGCCAGCACTGCGAAGATCCTCTTCTCCACAAGTTGGCTTTCCTTCGCAAAAACAGGCCGTTGGGACAGGAAGGCCAATGCTTCGTGCGTGACCTTTGCCGCAATCATAAAGCGTGGTCCAGGCATCACCAACCCATGGCGGAGGACGTTCGCATGCTCATGGAGACGACGGCTGGAGATACGACAGTTATCACCTGCACTCGCCGAGGCGCTGCGCTCGTTAATGCCCTTGCTCAAGAGGTGCTGTTCCAAGATCAAGGCCAGCCAGCCTTAGGCCAGATTGCTGCTGACTGGGAAAGCAATCCTGCCAACTACGACGAGGAGACTGGTGTCTTGAAGGAAGGTCTACCGGAGCCCTCCCGCCTCACCCTCTACGCAGGCCTCCGCGTACGTCTAACGCGGAATATGGACAAATCCCATGACTTCGTCAACGGGATGGCGGCCACGATCCACAGCTTCGACTCGCGCCGAGGTGCGGTTATCGTGGAAACGGAGACAGCCGAAACCCTCTGTGTTTACCCCGTGGCCGACGACAGCTGCCCGGGCGGCTACATCACCTACTATCCGATGCGGTTGGGGTACGCAGATACCGTGCACAAGTTCCAGGGCGCCGAACTCCACCACGTCACCTTCTGGCCAGATCGGCCGGGCTGCCCTGCAGCGGGGTATGTGGCCTTGTCTCGTGTGCGACACGACGGCGACTACCTTCTAGGCGGCTGCATCACTGCCGAGCACTTCGTTCCCGCAATGTGACCTCCTGAGTGCTTTCTTGCGTGAGCATCCGTTTGCTGGCGAGATCAAAGCTAGACCCCTGTGCACCAAGCCAGCGTCTGGTTCAAGATTTGAGTATTTGCATCGCAGACGATGGCTACTGCAAACACTCGTTAGGTACAAAGTCTCTGGTATGCTTTGCTTGCACTTGTCGTTTTCCCGTCTGCGGAGCATATCCTGTAGTCATACGTAGCCATACTTGTTTTGTTTGGAAGCCACAGCCGGCGGGAAGTCGTAGCACAGTCCTGCCCTATGGTTTCCATTGATAGTTCATCAAACAAACCTTGCTTTGTCAAAAAACAAAAGAGCTCCTGCCGTGCAGCTGCCGCTAGCGAGGCCTGTCAACAGCATACATGGGCATGAGTTGATGCGTTGTCGTCGCCCGCCTCCATTTTTTTGCTCAGTGTCGCACTGTCTGGATTCGACGCAAAATGTTGAAACTTGAATAATGAGGCTGGCTTGGTTGGGCTGGCTGCGGTTTGGTTCGCAGTGAGTAGTGTTTGGGTGGTCTTGGGGTGGGCATGTCTGCATACTGCTGCGCTCAGCTGACCAGTGCTACACCCTAAACCCTAAACCCTAAACCCTAAACCCTAAATTTTAGACGGCTTGCGCCGAAGGTGCGCCAGCGCAGCTTCTGGTTTGATGCCCAGCAGGTACGCAGGATTTAAGGCAAGCAACGGTCGACCATAGGGCAGTTTAAGTAAATTGACAAGTTTTTTCTAAGTGCAACTGAACGGTTTAAGTAAATTGAAATGACCCAAGCAAGCTTCAAAGTGCTCAAAAGCGGAATTCCCATAGGAATAGAAATTGCTTCAAAGTGCTCAAAAGCGGAATTGCTCCGTTTAAAAGCTAGGGGTGTTCCCATAGGAAAGGAAATGCTTCAAAGTGCTCAAAAGCGGAATTGGTTAGGGCGCCAGCAACTACGCTGGCGAACCCTAAACCCTAAACCCTAAACCCTAAACCCTAAACCCTAAACCCTAAACCCTAAACCCTAAACCCTAAACCCTAAACCCTAAACCCTAAACCCTGAACCCTGAACCCTAAACCCTAAACCCTAAACCCTAAACCCTAAACCCTAAACCCTAAACCCTAAACTGAAGGCCGACCCCCCACCGCAGCGAATGGGGTCGGCCGCAGCAGGCGGACCGGAAGGCGCCTGCCGGACCGTAGGCGACGGCCGAAAGGCAAGCCGTAGGTCCTGGACCTCAGGTCCACGCGGCTCCAGTGAATAGGCCGCTACTGTCAGCCTATATAATAATAACCCTAAACCTTGTGCAAACCGGCCGGGCACACCTGAAATCCTCCAACCTTAAATTAAGGACCTGTCGGCCACAATTAGGAATTGAGACTTCAAATTAAGGACGAGGCTTTAAAATTAAGGATTGGAGCCGAAAATGAAGGACTGGGGCTGCAAAATTCAGGCTTGGAACCTAAAATTGCGGACCGGTGCTCCAAAATTTTGGATTGGGACCTCAAATTAAGGACCGGCCCCAAGACCCGGCAGTACTATCTGTTACGGCCAAGAGTGGGCCAGAAAGAGCCACCAAGACCCGGCAGTACGATTTGTTACGGCCAAGAGTGGGCCAGAAAGAGCCACCAAGACCCGGCAGTACGATTTGTTACGGCCAAGAGTGGGCCAGAAAGAGCCACCAAGACCCGGCAGTACGATTTGTTACGGCCAAGAGTGGGCCAGAAAGAGCCACCAAGACCCGGCAGTACGATTTGTTACGGCCAAGAGTGGGCCAGAAAGAGCCACCAAGACCCGGCAGTACGATTTGTTACGGCCAAGAGTGGGCCAGAAAGAGCCACCAAGACCCGGCAGTACGATTTGTTACGGCCAAGAGTGGGCCAGAAAGAGCCACCAAGACCCGGCAGTACGATTTGTTACGGCCAAGAGTGGGCCAGAAAGAGCCACCACGGACCCGGACCCGGCAGTACGATTTGTTACCGCCAAGAGTGGGCCAGAAAGAGCCACCAAGACCCGGCAGTACGATTTGTTACGGCCAAGAGTGGGCCAGAAAGAGCCACCAAGACCCGGCAGTACGATTTGTTACGGCCAAGAGTGGGCCAGAAAGAGCCACCAAGACCGGCAGTACGATTGTTACGGCCAAGAATGGGCCAGAAAGAGCCACCAGGACTCGGCAGTACGATTTGTTACCGCCAAGAGTGGGCCAGAAAGAGCCACCAAGACCCGGCAGTACGATTTGTTACGGCCAAGAGTGGGCCAGAAAGAGCCACCAAGACCCGGCAGTACGATTTGTTACGGCCAAGAGTGGGCCAGAAAGAGCCACCAAGACCCGGCAGTACGATTTGTTACAGCCAAAAGTGGGCCAGAAAGAGCCACCAAGACCCGGCAGTACGATTTGTTACGGCCAAGAGTGGGCCAGAAAGAGCCACCAAGACCCGGCAGTACGATTTGTTACGGCCAAGAGTGGGCCAGAAAGAGCCACCAAGCCCGGCAGTACGATTTGTTACGGCCAAGAGTGGGCCAGAAAGAGCCACCAAGGCCCGGCAGTACGATTTGTTACGGACAAGAGTCGGACAGAAAGAGCCACCAAGAACCGGCAGTACGATTTATTGCGACCAAGAATGGGCCAGAAAGAGCCACCAAGACCCGAAGCACCAAGATGCCAGCAAACAGTGCAGAACAAAAACACACCATTTTGTTAACCCTTGTTGTTGTGCTCAACATCCTTGAAACAAGAAGTCAAGAACCAGTGAAGAAAAAAAGCCCCATTGTGTTATTCCTAGTTGTCGTGCTCAACATCCTTAAAACAAGAAGCCAAGAACCAGTGCAGAAAAAAAGCCCCATTTTGTTAGTCCTAGTTGTCGTGCTCAACATCCTTAAAACAAGAAGCCAAGAACCAGTGCAGAAAAAAAGCCCCATTTTGTTAGTCCTGGTTGTCGTGCTCAACATCCTTGAAACAAGAAGCCAACAACCGGCCCCTTCCTCCACCGGACCTCTCACGATTGACACCTGCTGTCAATCTGGCAAGGGAGTGTGACAGCCATCCGCCGGGAGGGTCCAGAGCTACTGACAATCCAAAGGGGCAAACGGCCAGCAAGGGAGTGTGACAGCCATCCGCCCCCTTTCCACCAAGCTCCACCCAGATTGCCACCAGCTGACAATCTGAAGCCCTGAAAATTGCCACCTGCTGACAATCCAAAGGGCAACCGGCCAGCAAGGGAGTGTGACAGCCATCCGCCCCCTTTCCACCAACCCCCACCAGGATTGCCACCTATTGGCAATCTGTACCCCCTTAAGATTGCCACCTGTTGGCAATCTGTACCCCCTAAGATTGCCACCTGCTGACAATCTAGATCCCCTGTGATTGCCACTTCTTGGCAATCTGTACCCCCTTAAGATTGCCACCTGTTGGCAATCTGTACCCCCTAAGATTGCCACCTGCTGACAATCTAGATCCCCTGTGATTGCCACCTGTTGGCAATCTGTACCCCGCTACGATTGCCGCCTTCCGACAATCTAGACCCCCTAAGATTGCCACCTGTCGGCAATCCATTAGGCCTGGCAAGTGGCAGCTAAGCACCAAAAACTCAAGTGTGATTGCCACCTGTTGGCAATCTAGCCCCCCTCCCAACCAGGATGGCCACCTGCTGACAATCCAGACCCCTAGAATTGCCACCTGCCGGCAATTTATGAGGCCTGGCAAGTGGCAGCCAAGCACCGAAAACGCCGAACCCGAGCCGTACACGCAGTGCGTTTCTGGACCCTCCGTTCGCACCCCAAGGGAGCATGCTAACTGTCTTTTGGAAGCTAGTAATGGCGTTGAACTACAGCGACTGCTGTACGCGCCAGTTCACTAGCGAAGCGGCCTCCAAATACCTAAAAAGAGCCGAGGTGCCTTCCTTGAGCATTCCAAAAGTAGGCCGCGGGCATACTTTTGGGATGTGTGCCACGGACGCGCTTTGCGCGAGGATCGGTTTGTTTTCCTCAGTGCCAAGGGCCAAGGGGGCTTCCCATTGAGCCTGTCAACGGGAACGCGTGTACTCGCTCGCGGGTGCGCGTTACTACCGGGGATCCGATCTATCTCCAATCGGTGAACACATATGGGCGAAGGATGTTTCAATCCGACCAGAAACATCGGGGAAGCAGGGAGCGTGTGCTGCGGGACATTCTCTTATAAGGCGCCTAAAATAAGGCCATCCCAGTACTAAGTACGCTGGGGGGTGCCTTCGAAGACCTTCACACTCTCATACTTCCCACGCATGCATTCAGTGAACATGTCCAAGCCAAGGACTGATTTTTGGTGCAAGCGACTCGGCTGCAATTAAACACGTGCATGTCCACGGCCATCATCAACATATATGTTAACTCAACATGTGCTCGCCCAGGCATTGCTCTGGTGGTCGCAACTCGGCTGCAATCAAACATGTCCACGTCTAGAGCGTGCTTGCGTCATGCTTGCGTCATGCTTGCATCAATTTCCCAAGCACCAAGATGCCAGCAAACAGTGCAGAACAAAAACACACCATTTTGTTAACCCTTGTTGTTGTGCTAAACATCCTTGAAACAAGAAGTCAAGAACCAGTGCAGAAAAAAAGCCCCATTGTGTTAGTCCTAGTTGTCGTGCTCAACATCCTTAAAACAAGAAGCCAAGAACCAGTGCAGAAAAAAAGCCCCATTTTGTTAGTCCTCGTTGTCGTGCTCAACATCCTTAAAACAAGAAGCCAAGAACCAGTGCAGAAAAAAAGCCCCATTTTGTTAGTCCTGGTTGTCGTGCTCAACATCCTTGAAACAAGAAGCCAACAACCGGCCCCTTCCCCCACCGGACCTCTCACGATTGACACCTGCTGTCAATCTGGCAAGGGAGTGTGACAGCCATCCGCCGGGAGGGTCCAGAGCTACTGACAATCCAAAGGGGCAAACGGCCAGCAAGGGAGTGTGACAGCCATCCGCCCCCTTTCCACCAAGCTCCACCCAGATTGCCACCAGCTGACAATCTGAAGCCCTGAAGATTGCC